AAATTCGAATTATACAAAATATACTATTACCTTACTATCTATATCTAAATCGAATTTCTTATCATTCTGAATAGATTCTTTATACTTAACAAGGAATTATTTAAAGCTTTTTTTAAAATTATTATTAATATTCTTAAATTATTTTTTATACTTTCTTTATAATTTATTATATTTCTCCTTATTATATTAAATTAATTAACAATCTTTTTTCTTATAAACAAAATATTTCTTTTTTGTTTATAATTTAAATAGATATTGGTTATTATATTTAAAATCTTTATTTTGATTATATCCACTTCAACTATATTGATATTTGTAATTGGTATAAAATATTATAACCTTATTTGAATAAGTTTATTCCTATATTATAATAATTAATTAAAGTTCTTCAAAAAGATTTAGAATATTTTTAATAAAATGAAAATAAGCTAAAGAGTATACTTACATTAGTATATATATATTAATAATCTTTTAATAAAGTAATTTACTTATTTTTATTATTAAACTAAGTTCTTCATATAAGTGGCAAAGTTATATAATTATTAATTATAGATATTAATTTATTGATTTACTATTATTATTTAAATCTTTCATTATACTTTTAAATATAATACTTTCCTATTATTATATAAGATTATATTTGTATTCTAAATCTTTAAATATGATTTTTATTATCTTACAAATTCCCTCTATCATTAATAATATACTACCTAGATTTATATAATAAAAATCGAATATAATTTTGATAAATATAATAAGAAATGCTTTGAATAATAGATATTCTAACAAATTGATGTATTAATAATTGTTAAGAAATATTGAGTATTTGTAAGCAAAATTGTTATTTTATCCATTATATTTATTGGCTTTTTTATAAAGTTTTATAAGGTTTTTTAATATTTAATTAATATTAATAATTCTTAATAATTGAATAAATAGAATTTCTGAAATACTATAATTATATTCTAAATTATTTCTATTTTTATTTTCTATATTATTTTTTCCTTTGTTTTTATTATTCTTATTATAATCTTCTTATAGGAAATCATTTTTTTTATCTTTATTATTGTCTTTTTCTTCTCCTTTATCTCTACTTGAATTATTATTATTATTAAATAGATCTTTATTTAATTAACTACTTCTTTTTAATAGAGTTTTAGTATTGTTGATATAATACTATTTTTATAATAATAATAATAATTATGATAATAATAGATTAAGTTGATAAAAAGATAATTTTAACTATAATTAATCAGAGTTGAATTATTGAATAAGTAATTCTAATTATAGATCAAAATTAAATCAAATAGACTAAATAAATATTGGCTTTATTAAATTATAAAACTAATATATAATTGATTTATTGAATTTAATCTTTTCTTAAAAGTTAGATTTATACTAAGAATATTCAAAGTAATAAAATAGTTCTAATTCTAATAATATTTTTTATTTGATATTGATATTTTTACCCTTATTAATTAAAAATACTTTCTATAAAATAATAAATAGCTTTAATATAATATATTAATTAAAGTCTAAAAGTTCAGATTGATTAAATTGATTATTTATTTAGAATATTTCAAGATCTTAAAATAATATATATAGATTTTTATTTGTAATTCTTTATTATATACTTTTTGATTGAAATATAAAGTTTTTTTTTAAGAGTACTTTAATAATCTTTTGTTTTATTTATTCTCTATAATTTAATTAAATTATATTAATCAAAATAATATAGACTAATTGAGTTATATAGATAATATATTTAATAATGAATAATTCATATAAATATAATTTATATTTAAGTTTATATAAAAGATATATATTAATTATTTGAAAATATTTTAATATAAAATATTCAAATATCATAAAGTAATCTAATTATAATTTCTAATTGAAATATATTAATTATTAATATTTGTATAATTTGAATTTATAAAAATCTCTAATCTTCTTTATATTAGAATTTTTTTTGATATTTATTGTTTTAATTAAAGAATAATATAATATATATATCTTTTTAAAGGCATTCAAGCTAATATTAGCCTATTATATAATCAGATCATATGATCGTCGCTTATAAGCTTACGAAAGCGACCATTAATCCGAAAACGACCATTAATCCGAAAACGACCATTAATCCGAAAACGACCATTAATCCGAAAACGACCATTAATCCGAAAACGATCATTAATTCGAAAACGGCCATAAAATACGAAAACGACTGTAAAATAAAGAATACAAAAAGGGGCTTTATTTCGAAAGAACGGACGGATTAGGAAGAGATCTACAAGAGATTAACGAAAGCGGAAAAGCTAAATTAGTAGGAAAAAGCATAAAAAGAGGTCTTTTTCCTTTTGAATATAAAAAAATAAGAGAGATCACTATTCAATACAGATTCTTTAATATCACGTGTTATACTGCTTATATAATCCATTTTAGTCGTTAACTAGAGCTAGCTGCCATACTATACTACTAGCCTATGACTTACGATAATATTAAATAAATAATCTTTCTATCTTTTAATTAATTTTTTAAATATATTAATTATAATAATTAATAATATATTTGATTTATTTATACTTATATTTTCATAAAAAATATAATTCTTTAATTAAAAAGATTTCGAAAATTATTCTATTATATTAATGAATAGCAAATAAATAATAAAATAGTTTTATATTTATTATTTAAAATATTATTAAATTCAAGCTAATATTATTAATTTCTATTCTTTAATATAGATTATAAAGAAAACTCGAATATAAATTAAAATTAATTTGAAAGTTATTATCATATTACCAACTTCTTTTAATAATATTAATATCAAACTATATTAAATTAATATTTATATAAGAATTATTACCACATTACTAACAATTCCTATTTATATAAAAGTAGATATTAAATTATATTGAAATAATATAAAAACTTATACCTCTTTAAAGAAATATCAATTTTAATTATAAATATATATTATATTTAAAATTAAAATATTAAGCTTTTAATTTGTAATATTATTAATTAGTATTAGTATTATTATAAGGATAATGAAGTTAATATAATACTATGATTTATATTATTGTAATATTACTTGAGGTTTTAAAAGCTAGAGCTATGAAATATATATGTTATAGTGCTAAGGCACTAGTGCAAGCGCTAGTGCGGTCACATAATCCCTGTCCCGACAGGTACATATACTAATATAGTGTACGTACTAATAAACTACGTTAGTATATATATCGATATCAAAATAGATATTGAAAAGGCTTTTTTAATAATTTTTTTATAAAAGAAATATTATAATTAAATTAAGAATCAATTTCTGAGATATCAAATTAATAAGATATAATTATTTATATCTATAAAAGAAATATTATAATTAAATTAAGAATCAATTTCTGAGATATCAAATTAATAAGATATAATTATTTATATCTATAAAATAGACTATTTTATTTATTAGTTCTAATATAAAACTATAAACTAATAGACTTTAGGATTTTAAAAAGGAATTTAATATTAATATTACGGTAAAAACCCTGAATATTATTATTTCATATATTGATACCTTAATTAGTATATAATAGAACTAAATATTATTATTTCGTTATACTATTACTAAATTTATGGACTAGCAAATTTCGAATTTAGTATATAAATTTTCAGGAATTAATAAAATAAAAAGAAAAGAGATAATGTAACTTATAGTGAACCGGGTTATATGGGGAACTGGGTCAGGTACCTTTACACCAAAATTTGTATGTAAAGGTACTTAGAGCGATTTTTTATAACTCTATAAGTACTAGAGATATAGTTTCGATATTTTGAAGTATAATATATTCAATATAAATATTTAATATAACAAAATTTTATAAAGATATAATCTTTTTTAATAAAGATATTAAAGTTTCTTTTAAATTTTTGATTTTATCTAACAAAAATTACTATGGGAATTTTTGAAATCATATTAATTCAAGAACAATATTACTAAAAAATATTCTGTAACTTTAATACTACATTTTTATTAGATATTAAGCCTAATTATTAAAAAAATTAAAATTATCTTTAATATCCATAGAGATATAAAAAGTCACTCTAAATACCTTTATATACAAATTTTGGTATAAAGATATTTGACCTGATTCCCTATATAACCCAGTTCACTATAAGTTACATTATAATTATTAATTAAAATTCAATTTATTAGTATTTCAATAATAGAAAAATTAGTATTAAAGCTTAATCACCTTAACAAAACTAGCTGGAAAGTTATTAAATTGAATTTTAATTTTAATTTTCGAGATAATTCAAAATAAATTATTTTGTTGAATTCCTTAAACTTCAATTAATAATTACACTTTTTTTTCTTTTATTTTATTAGTTCCTGAAAGATTTTATATTAGATTAAAAGATTAATAAGTATTACAAAATACTAATTGAGGTTACTTTAATTATAAATCTGATATTTGAGGTATTAATATATGAAATAATAACATTCGGGGTTTTTACCGTTAATATTAATAATCTTTTCAATAAATATTCTAAAGTTACTAAACGAAAACCAATTTTATTCAATTATTATAATCTCAGAGATATATATTTATTCATTTTTTATTCATTTTCTTATATATTATTAAAAAATATTTATATTTATATTCTGAAGAAAATGTTATTTATTAAAGAATTTAAAAATCTAGAGGGCTATGGATTTGGATTATTAAAATGAGACAATACAATTTTGTTAAATTTAAACAAAATTGTAAACAAAATTATATTATTAGGAATTTCAAGAGATCTATTAGATAATGATTCTGATAATTCTAACAATAATTGTTAAGATAGTAAAAGTAATAACAAAGGTAATAACAATAATAATAAAAATGATAGAAAGTAAAATTACTTTAATTATTTTAATTCTAATAATAATACCTGGAATAATAATTAGTATAATCAAAGTTGTTATTTTATTAATCTTTCGAAAATCTAATATATTATAGAATCCTCAATTCTCGAATGTTCAGATTTGTTGTTGGCAAGAATACTGACAATAATCCGGCGGAGTTCTTCGTTCACGAGAAAGCAATTTCCCAATGCTCTGATTCACTTTACGTACTACTTTCAAAGGGGGATTTTCGAGAATCCCAAGAGGGATGTGCGAGATGGGATGATGTAAGCAAAGAGACATTTGAGCGATTTGCTCAATTCGCGTACACTGGGGATTATTCGGTGCCAGAACCAGTACTAGCATTCAATCGAATAAAACCTACGGAAGAGGAAGTATCTATTACACCCCCTCAATCTCGGCCTTTGCCTACGCTTGCTTCGACATGGGGCTTTAATGAACCTATTGCCCGATCTGTTATCGAGTTTGGGGAAGAAGAGATTTCATAGGGTGCAAGAAAAAAGGACAAAAAGAAGAGAGTAGAGATAGAAGAAGAGATCGCACCAGAGCAGAAACCTGATTCAATTGCGAGAAAAGATGAATACTTCCGAAATTTATCCTTCCCAGCGCCGCCGCATAACAATTACGAGGAAAGTTGTACTCCTGTTATGTTTTTTGATCGAAACCTTAGCTATTCAAAAGTATTTATTGATTATACTTCATTGTATATTCTTGGAGATCTTTATTGTATTGATTTATTGAAAAATTTAGCTTTATCTAAGCTTTATCTAAGCTTTATCGAATTTTGTGTGTGTTTCAATTCGATAGTGAGAATGCAGAAGATGTTGTCGATCTTGCAAGATATGTGTATTCTGAGAAGTGTAAAGAGGGAGAATTTGATTAATGGCTGAGGAAGTTTGTGTATTAGTATGTAGCTACAAAGATGACACTTTTGTTTGGTAATAAAGGATTTAAAGATCTTTTAAAAAAGGGCGGTCTATTTGCTCTACATCTTTTCGAGTTTGTGGTATCTGGTGTGAATAAATGGGATCTAGTGGATCTTAGTTGAGCACATTGTATTTATAAAAGATCGCAAAGGAATACTTGAAACTATAGCTAAATACCTAGAGTATAGCCTTGTTGTGATATTTCCGACTCATTCCTTCAATAACAGTCCGTGAAAGATGACATTTCACCTTAGCACCACCTAGTTTGCAAACGTAGAACAATTCTATATTTGGGTACATAACGGCCAAGTATATCAGCCTTATTTTACCCCACAATTACCCCACAATTAAGCCACAATTACTCTAGTATTCTACACTTGACAAAGTCTACAAAAATAATCATTCTTCATTTACCGACTCCCGAACTAATTTCTTTAAAAGGTGATTAGAAGCTTCCAAATAACCAAATGCTAACTAATCTCTGTTTAGCCTAGTATCAATTGATATCCGCAACGCTCTTTCCCTTGTGAATGTAAAGTATTATCTCTTAAAGTTAACTAGTATCGATTTTTGATCCTCTTCCATGAGCTCAGATATAGTTACTATCATTAAAGGACAAAATAATAACGATTGCTCCTGTTATGTTTTATTACGCAATTCACTATCCTCTGTTCATCCACTGATCTATCTATCTGTCTATCCTCGTCTTTTCTAGTTGATATGGCCACAAATCAAGACCTGCAACTAGGCTGCGCAAAAATTATTCGTACCCGTGGGTAATTTGTAGATAATCCGTGGATTATCTGCAGATTATCCATCTACCTGTGAGTAGGGGGGGATTATCCGCAGATAGGTGAATGATTTGCAGAGTATCTACATATTATCTATATTATCTGCGGATTATTTGAGAAATACCCACTTAAATTCACTTTTCGGTTAAATTTGAAGCTATTCACAAATCACTTTACAGTCTAAAAATGATTCAAGCTTAGATTTATACTGATATTTATACTAATCATAGAGTTATTATAATATTATGCAATCTACGGTTAGATGGATACCCGCGGATAATTTGCAAATACTCCGTGGGCTGCCTACCCAGACTTTGAATTATCCGCTCCGCTGACGGATTATTTGCGGATTATCCGTTAGAGCAATTATCCGCTCCGCGGGTGCGCAGCCTCCCTACAACCAACATAGATTGAAAGATTAAGAGATTAATATTACAACGGATTAGTAACAGGCTGTGGAATCACCAATGTATAGGCTATAAAGGGAAAATCAATGTGAGTGTATCTATCATATCATGCATGCATGCATGCATGCAACCCTACACTACCCATCTTTAATCCCTGTGCTGTCAGCCTTTCGGTCAATTCGAACCCGTGTTTGTTTTGAGAAAATCATTCATGTTTGTTCTGTTCTTCGAACTTTCAAGCTTCCACTGAATCTTGATGCACTGAGCTGGCCGTAAATTTAAACACGATCACAACGAAATATGACATCCCATGCTTATGACCATTCCAGGTGCAAATCATCTCAAAGCTGCAGCTTCTGTTCAATTGCCGATGGATCAGAATATGTGGCGCCTGGTCTCCAGGCTTCAATTAAAGAGAACATCTTGACAGAAGCTGGCCGTGGATCATCATTCAGTGGCAGAATTTGGTATTATAATGGTACGTCGTGGATCTTTTATACTCATGCGAATTTATCACCTCAAGTCTGATGACTCTGGTCTTCCGCAATAATTGGCCCCTTCAATTTAATCACCTCCCTTCTTAACATTTAATCGGGCAGGTTGGAAATCTGTGAATCTACGCGCGTTGCTAAAACCCTCGGTCTTTGCGGCATCGACTGCGATTTTTTTTGGTCAGATAGGTGAGTAAGCCCAGTTCTTCACGTACCCTTTCATACACTCACTTGTTCCGTTACTCACTGTAATTTTGCCCTTTCAAGCTCGCGAGCAAGATTTCGCCTCGTCACTGATCCGATATGCTCTCGATATGGAGCTTTCTGACAATACGCAACAATATGTGCCCGTTTTTATCGCTCCGTAAGTAGAATCTACAACCTCTGAATGCGCACTAGTTGACTTGGAAGAACCGTCCATTTCATCGTTACTAGAAATGAGCGCGCAAAGCATATATCAATCCAGCGACTAGCTCTCGCATTAGAGCAAGCAGAAGAAGAAAAACTGGTCTGTAACCCCATATTTCACAAAGAAAGCTGCTAATCGTATTTAGCTCAAATTCTTGCGGACCATAATTGTTACTCCTGGTAAAGAAAAGGTCAAGTCTTCGGTTGTCGCTGAAGCAATTCTGTCTGCATGGCTCAAGCTATCAAATCAGGCTTTACTTGTTAGTGATTCTAAAACAAAAATATACCAGACATTCATGTACTGACGAGGATATGTAGATTCTTACTCACACAATTGCACAAGCCTGTGTGCAACTGGATCTTGAATTGCTACGTCGAGAGATTGGAGACCCTAAGTTGCGCACATATGAAGGTCTGAATAATCTACCTTTGCTACATAGGGTTTTGGAAGAATCTTTAGAGAACTATTGTAAGTACGCATTTTTGCAAGGACGTTCCCCTCGCGCATTTCTGATAAGAATTTTAACGCCTGTAACAGTCGATATTCTGAGAGATGTGGATAGGCAAGAGGCTACAGTCGCAAATTCAGCCAATTTCCTTCAGGGTTTATCTCCTCCTTATCACATTGGGGAAAATTGGCCATCAACGTGGGTAACATCTCGGATCCATTGCTACATTAAACTGACATGTACCACAGTATAGCAGACGCTAGAGCTTCCATACTCTTGACGTCAAAAATTACGCTTGCTTACCTTCTACCTGTGTTGAACATCCAGGTTGACCAAGAGATGACTTCGAGATTCAAAAACCACGATCAAAGTTTGTTGTTACACCACGTCAAGGTTGCTGTACGTGACCGGAACTATGTGGAGGAGGATTATCTCTAGTCCGAAAAGAATGATAAGCTAAATATTTGGGGAGTTTGTGTATGAACGTGGGTGAATGACTTCAATTCAATGGCTACTGTATTGAGCTTTAGGCGAATGCGAAAGAGACTAGCTCTTTCAGTAGTGCCTATATAATGCCTACTACTTTCTGTACATAGCTAGCTCTTTAGACAGAATACAATATAGACAATTAGGACCTACAGTTCGTAGGTGCCACGTCTTTCGTATCCTTCTCAAACCAACAGTTTGTAATAAACAGGTTGATTTTTTTTTATCTACCCATCAATATATGCATGCACCTGTCAGAATGTCCGTGAGGGATTATGTGTGTTTAGTCTTCATCTAACTTAAGATATTTATCGCGGGGTCGTAAGTGTTGTGGGGCTGTATTACTAGTCCAGAAGCTGACGGGCCTCTTGCTGTTTGTTATAAGAGTACGTTGTTCTCATTGGAGAACATCATTTTCCTACTCATACAAGGGCCGGCTGTATAATCAATTAGGTCTCATATTTCCCTAAAGCATCTTTAGTCTCATTAATCCTTGTGCTGATGTACTGATGTTTCGATGGCTAAGCGAGGTAGGTGTGTCTCTATCCCCCACTCACATTGTCATTCGGTGACTATGTGTGGGGTGTCTTGCAGGCCACATCAAGCGTCGGTAACGTCAGGTAAGCCTTAATTTAATAATATCCATGCAACCCGCATCCGCTTATTCGTCTAATAACATGCAATCTTATGTTTGCTCATTCTTTTACATTCCGTATTTTCTTCTCGTCAGTGGAATCTTTCCATACCACCATCATCACCACCACCACCAACACCAATACCATTACCACCATCACGAGGCACAAGCTATGCAGAGTCAGGCACTAGGTCATGTTCTAGTCATTGGAGGGTGTGGATTCATGGGACATCATCTTGTCAAAGCTCTTTTGGATGATTCAAACGTAGAGCACGTTTCTGTATTCAGCCGGAGTCCGCGCGAAAACCGTTATCCTGAAGCATCGTACTATGCTGGCGATATCACGTCTGTTGAAGAAGTTACCAATTTGCTCAAGGATATCCAACCGCGTATTATCTTTCATGCCGCCTCTCCCGATCCATACCAAGATCCACCCAATCATCTTTCTTATCAGAAGGTGAATGTAGAAGGTACTAAGAACTTGCTCGCATGCGCCTCTTCCGCACCTTCAGTTGTAGCCCTTGTCTATACATCTTCGTTGACCATATACAAGTACGATGTCAACGGTGAAATATTTAACGCGGATGAATCTCACCCCATTCTCAACGGCCCAGTTACCAAATACAACCCCTACACTGAAAGCAAGGCTCTTGCAGATGCACTGGTGTTGGCTGCCAATAATCCTTCTTCTAAACCATGTCATCTTGCTGGAAAGTGCTCCCACAGTCATCTTCGAACTGCATGTATCCGGATCCCAGGTATCTACGGCGAAGGAGACGAGAATATGACAATGCTTGGCCTGCAACTAGCACGCTACGGGTTGTCATTTCTGCAATTGGGTGACAATACAACTCTGTTTGATCCGATTTATGTCAGCAATGCGGTTTTTGGTCATGTCTTGGCAGCAAAGGCCCTCTTGACGGAGGTAGAGACGGACATCGCTTACATCAAGGATAGAGATGAAGATATTGATGCAGTACCAACTAAATATCGAATTTGCGGCGAAGCATTCAATATCACAGACGACCTTCCCTCCCCGTTCTGGTTTTATATGCGCAAGTTCTATACGGCAGCGGGGCATCCGCCGAAAACAATATGGGTCATTCCTACGTGGATCTTGTTTATGCTGGCTTGGCTAACTGAGTACTGGTTCTGGATTGTGTACCAGGGAAGGAGAAGGCCTAAAATTTTGATTCGTTCAAAGCTAGAGCACCTTTGTATGACCAGAACTTATCAAGTAAGCAAGGCAAAGCAGAGACTTGGTTGGTACGCCCTTGTCGGTGTCGATGAGGCTGCTAAGAATAGCATGCGCTGGGGGCTTGCAAAACTAGGTGTTGATGTGAAAAACATGGTTTCTGTTGGTAATGAAGTTCAGAATGGGCGAACGAAGGCTGCCTAGGTGAGATGGATGTTGCATCGAGATAGATTTAGCAATATAGATTGCAGTGTAGTTATTTCTTTAAGCGAGCTAAGAGTCCAATGGCTTTTGTATCTTTTCTTTATTGTTCTAGTGACTTGTGCGAATTATCTGCTCTACAATCATTTTAATACACGAACGCGGTCTTGGTATAAAGTCTACTATATTTACGTGATAGGCACCTATATCCATTATTGAGATTGAACCTCACGAACTGAATTTTGCCCAACTTTTGTTCTCCGCCTGACAATATTATCCGGAGTATTTGAGGAGCGGTTTTGGAGTAATCTAAATGCCTTCCAAGGCCAAATCGCGACTATCTCTGTGCTCTGCAGTCTTGTTTTCAGTCTATTTGGACTTTATATAATTTGGAGAATCTGGTCATTTACCATTTTACCGTGGTTATACCCCAATCGACCTCAAGTCCTACCATATTGGATGCCGTGTATGTTTATCCATTTATGTAACAAATGATCAAGTTTACTGACTCAGCGGGTATAGTCTTGGGTATATCTTCATTATAGATGAATAAAATGAAGCAAAAACTAATGATTGCTCTCCAGGACATGCCGTATCCTTCTTCAATGACGCCGACGGCACGTTTGCATATGGCAGGTTTGTCTATCACTTCTTGGACTATGCGCCAAAAAACCTCCTTTCGTGACATCTATAAGGATTCTAACATCAAGCTAGAAATTACTTTCGCAACACTCGCGAGCCATTCACCATCACTGCAGCAGGAGAAAGTCTCTAAACTATCACATCCATCTTCACCGTGAATGAGGTGTACAGAAATACTGAACAATTGACATTTGATGATTATATCACTGATATGATGGTTTTGTTCAGAGCTACACCACATGCCATAGGAAAAATGTGGGAACCTTCATCCCAAAAGCTCAATAGAGTTGGCGGCAACTGGTCTCCGAACAAACCACTTGCGCATATTGCCGAAACTATCATACGACAACAACTCCAACCCGGCCAACGGCTTGACAAGCTCCAACGCGTGTTTCTCTCCAGCGTTCATAGTTCTATGACTTGGGACAAAATGACCTCGAAAGTTATATTACCTACGCCATGGACCGATTCCCGTACCGTGTCGCTCCTTGAGTGGACCAGAGAAGCGCTTATGGAAGGAGCCACGACTTCTTTTTTTGGACCTAAGCTCCGTGAAATTGAACCTGACCTTTTTGACAGCTTTTTTTCTTTCGACGACAGTAGCTGGAAACTGACTTACAAGATTCTTGCTCCTTGGTCTAATGATATGAAAGCTGCAAAAGCTATTGGCCAGAATGCTCTAACGAGGTATTTCGAAATTTCCACCAGTCAGCGTCCGGGTGCCTGCTGGCTCGTGGAAGCATTGGAGATTGAAATGAAAGCTGTGGGTATTCAAGCGCCTGATATCGCTGCCTATCGTACGATGATCTATTGGGTGTGAGTGTTGATATTCCTCACTTTCACAATATATCGAACACAGCGACTGATCAATAATAGGATAAATACAAACGCGTGAAAAGTATCATTTTGGATGCTCGCTTATGTTCTCCACAATCCAAGCCTTTTAGCCAAGATACGGCTTAAACTTAAACTCATCATGGCAACTCCCGCATCTCAGGATCCCAACTCTCTTGCAAATTCATTTGTTCCTACAGCTACTCCCCATTTTCTCGCCTTGTACCACGAAGTTTTGAGGCTTATAACTTCATCTGTGTCTGTTCGCAATGTCGCATCCCCTACTTACGTCGGTGGAAAAGAACTACAGCCAGGCGGCAGGGTTATCATTCCATATCGGCAGTTACTACTCAATGATGAAGTTTTCGGGGCCGATGCTGGTGAATTTCACCCGGAGAGGTTTATGACCAATGATAAGCTGAATGTAAACCCGAGCTACAGACCTTATGGCGGTGGTTCAACTTACTGCCCGGGGCGATTTCTGGCCAAGGCGGAGGTATTAACTTGTGTTGCTTTAGCTCTGTGGAGATTTGATATGCAACTCATAGATAAAGAAGATATTGGGATTGATATTCATGAAAAGAGCTTTGAGTCAAGGGCTAAGACACAATTTCCACGTCTGGAGATAAAGAAGCCTTGCTTAGGCATTATGGGTCCAGTGGATGGAGATGATGTTTTCGTCAATATTTCCTGTAGGGCTTGAAAAAGTAACTATAAACATCTGATCATGCTTGACTGGCCTAAAGTTTCCTTTTTCTAACATCTCAAAATAAATATATGACTATTTTACACATCATAACAACGATTTTATCTTCTGTGTGTGTTTATGAAGACTACTGATCAAGTCCTTTCAGCTTGAACCCACCAGGAACCCCTTTTTGAAACAGGCCTTGCGGATCATAAGTCTTCTTCACACTCAACAAATTCTCTTTTCCTTTATCTCCATACGAGCCCAAAGGATTCTGCCAACTGGCTGCATAATTCAAATACTTGAAAGAATTGTAAACACCTGCTTCTTTTGTCTTCTCTTCAATTGCACTCATGAGCGCCGTTGTCACTGAATTCACCGTTTCATCATCCGACTAATTTGCCCAAGTAACGGATAATAAACCCAATACCAGATTCTCTGCGGATGAGGGGAGATTAAAAGAATTAACATTGCCCGGGACAGTTGCTGGGAGCCGTTGATATATTAAACTGTAGCCTATCGATGGAATTGCGCTGATGCTTGGAGTAGTTGCATTCCAGAGATCATAGATTGAGGTCAAGATAGGGAGGTTCGGACTGAAAGTTGTGGTTACATAGATTCCTCTGCATTAAATTGTGTTAGTAAAGTTTCTTCTGGTCCTAGATGACGACTTCTAGCGTGTGCAACACGCTGACATGAATCAATGTATACGACATACCGAGTATTCAAAGGCTGAAAATCCGCTTCCTCTGTTACGAAATTCAACATGTTGGAAACGCGCATGGTACTACCTAGCTGGTTGTCGATCTCCAGGAACGGCTGAAGCACTTTCGGTGTCGTATTCGCAATTGGTAAAGTGTATTCCATGCCCATAGAAACGGCTTGAAGACCTTGCTGGTAGCCGAAAGCCTGAATGATTGAGGCATGGGGGTCAAAGTTGACAGGGCTCATAAAGTCATTGAAGGCCTTGAGCAGTTGCGGAACTGTAGATGAATTGTAGAAAATAAATCCACCGAGCAGTTCCCTTTGTGCAAAAGTCTTCAAGTCAAATCTAGTCACTACCCCAAAGTTATTCGAGCCTCCTTGAAGAGCAGTGAAGAGGCCGGAATGACTTTGTGACGATGCATAAACTACCGAGCCATCGGCAAGAACCACTTCCATGCCCAGTATTCCGTCGCAAGCCCAACCATACTGAGGGGATAAGAATGAAACTCCGCCTTATGCATCTGTATCATGTTAGAAATTAAAGCCTGAGCAAAATGAATCGATGTAAGCTGAGCACTAACCTCCTATCAATAAACCTCCTACCCCAATTCCAGCTACACGACCTCCAAGGACAGTCAAGTTCCTTTGTTCCAATTGAATATATATTTTGCTCCAGATAGAACCGGCTCCCACAGAGACCATTGAGCCATCACGGTTCAGACTGAGGGTATCCATAAGCGTCAGGTCGATTGTCACCCCACCATTATCGTTGGCTGCACCGGCGATCGGAGAATGGCCACCACTCCGGATGGAAAGCAACGTAGCATCAGGTTGCTTTTTGTAGATATTTGATAGCGCTATCAGTATTGTCGATACGTCTTACGTGCAGCTAGGTTTGACTATGCAGGCCGGTGAAAGACGTTCTTGGACGAAATAGTAGGATAGAACCGAGCTGATATAGGTAGTGCTAGAGGGGTATGACACTTGCTTTGGAAGAAGGCGTTCTAGAGTACTACATTGAATTGAACTGTTGCCAGTTGTTGAAACTGCCAAAACTGCCGAGACATGGAAGAAAAGAAGAGTTCGAGTGACTATAAGGGAGAAACGTCTGGAAATGGATAACATTTTGTGTATTCAGAAGAAGCTTCACCGATGAGTTTGAAGGTCTGTCCTACATCATTGCGAGGGAATTTACTCATATTTGTACTCATATCAGCTCTCGCAGATGGAGCAAGATGCGAAGAAGATCCAACAAAGCCCTCAATACAAGGATTGTATTGAGACAGTCAAACAACGTGGCGAAGAGGATTTCACCAGGGTCTGAAGGTTTGCCAGGGGTGCCACGAGCTCAAGGCAGGGTACTTTCACGATCTAGTTGATTTAGAGTGACTATAAAAAGCCACAATAAAGCAGTGGTCTATTTGTATTGGCTGGATCACATTTTTTATGGCATGTTTTGTTCGAAATTTAAATACAAAAATACACTTATCTTACTCAGATTTTAGTAACAATTTGATCTAGCAGGCTTACAAATACTACCTGATGGTTCTTAAAAGAATGATTCTGATTCTGCATGAATATATTTTCCTAGTTTAAAGACCACACACACAGTAGGTGGAGATTTGTGTACTTCGTGTCTTACTATACACCCTTGAGGTAACATTTAAAGCGTGAAAGACCAATCGCCACCAGACCATCCCGCTCTGGGTTTGAAGTCCACCAGTACTTCCTTGATTGGAGGATTGATGATTAGGGACAAGTTGCTACTATCAGCTCCTGGATGAATCCATGCCCCACCAACCGGCTTGACATCATAACGCAAAACTAGCATTGAGCATAGAAAGGATATCTCATTCATGGCATAAAACCTCCCTGGACATAGATTAACGCCGCCACCAAAGCCTCGGAATGCACCTGGTTGATATGGTTTACTTTTCATAAAACGATGAGCATCGAAATTGTCAACATCTGTTCCCCAGGATGATTCATCAAAATGGTAAGCTCGATTCGGCATAAAGATGAATGAATCTTTCTTCAATAGATATTTATCGTCAAGCATGGTGTCTTGAAGCACAATTCGTGTTCCGGTGCCATCCGCATAATGTCGCAGCGATTCGTGCAGAATAGATCTGATGATAGGCACATCCCTGATCTTACTGATATCCATCTCGCGAGAAAGATGTCCGTTTTTCTCTGAATTTTTAACAAACGGTTCCACTGCGTTTCGTACCTCTTCCACAAGTTTGGGGTCTGAGAGAAGATGGAAGACAGCCCAGAATGCTGTGGGGGTTGTGTTGGCTAAGATGGCGTGCCCACTAACAGCGTCAATACGAGCTCTATCGAGGAGTGAGATTCCAGAAGTGGTAGCAACTCTGTCCTGAGATTGGACAATGTGAGACGCCGTTTTCGGACCTTCATCCGCATAATACTTGAGAAATGCATCAACCATCTTTTCGCGACCTTGGTACGCTTTTCGACATGTGACTTTTGGCAAAGGAAAGGAAATGAGTCCAACAGCATTGTCCTGAAAGTCTCTGTCATGAGTTAGTATTTGATCTTCCATATTATTACATTGATAAATTACCTGAACGCTTTTGATATTTCCGGGTCTTTGTATGGGTTTCTAGGGCCATAGAAACTACCTGTTACGGAGTCCATGATCGTGTCAACAATCCATTGATTGAGATCAATCCTGGTTATTTCTTCTAGTCTCGAAACAGTACGTGCGAGCTTCTGAGTACCATCCCTGGTAATATTCAACAGGTGTTCACCCGGTTGCATCTCTTGATGTTGAAGCGTCATGCCCGACTTGAAAAAACTCGTTCCCTCTTCTTCGCCGTTCACATTATGTGTGACTATCTTCGCTGCATGCGGGCTCAACCCCGCCATGCCCACGGTGAAAGTTGCTTCGACGTGCCAGAATGAGAGCTGCTTAGATTGTCTTTGGACAGCAAGAACAAGTTCGGGTGAGTTGATGATGTAGACTCGACCACCAGGCATACCAGGTATGGCAAGACCAAAGATACGCAACTTGTACTTTTCACTGGGTCGCGAACGCGTTAGTTCAAAATGCCTGAAAGATTTCGCTTTCCAAAGGAAAATGATGAAATGAGAAGCAAACCTAAGTGCGATGTAATATCCATACTTCTCCCGAAGTAGTCCCACAGCATGTCCAATGATTGGGAATCTTGGATCAATGTATGGTGGTTCTTTGGAATCACGCTTTACTCCAAATACGTAGTTCAAGAACCAGACGAAGCTTACGATGGCTGCCAGCGAGGCAAATAGCAGGTTCATGTTGTCAGATATGAAATAGAAAAACAAAGCAAAAAGTTGCTGGGAAATGCGGATTGTTGAATTGGTTTGTGATGGAAGACTATTCGAAATATTTGATTTATTGTGCCTTATTGTGCCCCATTGTGCCTCGTTGCGCGTCATGACAGAAGCAGTACCCCGCCACGACTGCGCATTTGGTACCTGTTCTCATCTGCAAGAACAGGTTGATAGAGACACACCATAGACAAGGATTCCAAAAAAGGGGGTAACGTTAAAATGATAGTCTGGTAACAGTAGATGCATGTCTCCGTCGTGATGTTCGATCATGTGATTCTTAATTCGGCAGAGACACAGAATACTTATCTCATCCTCAGACCACATGGTGATTACATAATAAAACCAGGCTTTTTGGCCTTAATTTCAAGACAGTGTCTTTCAAAGGCTTATCACCATAGAATCTGAAACTATTTGATTTCACTTTTAATATAAATCCTAATAATTCGTGATTTTTCGATTTTTTATTAAATATTATAAATCATTTAATTATCATATTATTTTAATATAGATCTAATCTATGAAAATAAATTTTCTTATTATTTTAATATATTTATTATTATTATTATTGGAAATCACATGTGTAGTACATATGTAGTATATATATACTACTATAAAACTCTTTCTCTAGACTTCCCGGATATATAGATTTTATATATATATTTAATATATTACTTTTTATATATAACTTATTATCTATTTCTAATAGATTATAAACATTATATTATAAAAAGCTTTATTTTACTTTTTTTATAATATATCTATTATAAGATTAGGTGGAAAAGGCCTCTGTATTGACTATATTACTATGTGTATAAATATCTTGATCCCTTTTTACTTTCTTTGGAGAGAACTAATATATTTGTTTATAATTCGTCTAATCTAGTTTATTTAGGTAACTATATTATTAATTATAATATATAATTAATATCAATAACTTTTATTTCTTTTAATATTCTTTTATAAAAATTATTATCTTTAATTTCTTTAATTTTTTGTATCTTTATTATCTCAATCCTAATATTTCTTTAAACCTTTCGAATACTACTTTTACTAGAGATTTAATTATTCCATTTATTACTATATCTGATATATTAATATAGCTAATTATTACCTTTTCTTTTTTAATAAGATTTCTAATAAAATAATAGTATATATTAATATACTTTGATTATTTATATAAATATAAATTCTTGATTAGAGCTATTACTTCTTGATTATTATCTAATAATTGAATAATATTTCTATATATAAATATATATTTTATCTTTTCAAGATTTTTGAGTATTTGAATTAATTATTTTCTTTATTTAATAAATATTACTATTAATATATATTTGGATTTAATATTTAATATTATTATTGAATTCTATTTTTTATTAGTTTATAATATTGATTCTTTATAGAATATAGTAACTCCTCCAAAAATACTTTTTTGATTATATTAATTACTTATTTAATTTATATTAATAAAGATTTTTATAGTATTTACTGGTAGATTGTATTTCTTTGTAATTTGGTATTATATTCCTTTAGATTTATATTTGAGTTTCTAAGTGATTATAGCTCTCAGATATTATATTAAGTTCTTTATTTCTATTCTATAGTATTTCACTGATTTTGTTATATATTGTGATAATTAACCTAATATAAAAGAGATATTTGATTTTATGTATACTATTAGATAAATAAAGCTACCTATAACTTATTGATATTTAATAATATTAATTAGTTTATTATTTTCTATAGTAGATTATAAATATAAATAATTAATGACAGGTATTTTTTTAATATAATACTAAGTATATAAAATTTCGAATTTGGTAAGTATAGCTTCCAAATACTTTTTTTGATTTAATATGAATAATTTATTTACTTAATCTCTTATAATTCTAATACCTAGAATCTTATTAATCTTCTTTAGGTTTTTAGTATTGAAATGTGAGGAGAGTATTATAAAGAATTAATTAAATTGATTTTTTGAGATTAAAAAAACAATTATATTATTAATAATGTAACTTATAATGAACTGGGTTATATAGAGAACTGGGTCAGGTATCTTTACACCAAAATTTGTATGTAAAGGTACTTAGAGCGATTTTTTATAACTCTATAAATATTAGAGATATAGTTTCGATATTTTGAAATATGATATATTCAATATAAATATTTAATATAACAAAATTTTATAAAGATATAATCTTTTTTAATAAAGATATTAAAGTTTTTTTCAAATTTTTGATTTTATCTAATAAAAATTATTATAGGAATTTTTAAAATTGTATTAATTTAAGAACAATATTATTAAAAAATATTCTATAACTTTAATACTACATTTTTATTAGATATTAAACTTAATTATTAAAAAAATTAAAATTATCTTTAATATTCATAGAGATATAAAAAGTTACTCTAAATACCTTTATATACAAATTTTGGTGTAAAGATACCTAACCCAATTCCCTATATAACCCGGTTCACTATAAGTTACATTATAAATTAATAAATTAAGTTATTAAATAATATATATATATAAATATAAATTGGTGAGATTTTGAGTAAAGTTTTAATTAATTAATTCGGACTTTAAAAATTGATTTTAATCTTATTCAATTTACTTAAGATTATATAAACTTTGTAGTATATATAAAATATATTTATTTGATATATTGATTCTTTAAGGTAGTATAAGATATATCTCTTTTTTGAAATAGAATTCTGTAAAAGTATTCTTTATATTAAAGTATTAATATTCCAAATTCTTTTTTGTAGTAATTACTAAGAATAAGTAAAGT